TTCTGTTCTGTTTACTAATGACCGCCTGTGTAAAATAGGATACATTTCTAATCCCAACTGCACCTTCTGTAATCATCTAACAGAAACCATGTTGCATATCCCATATTTTGTTCGGTTGTTCTTTTTCAAATTCTTTTTGGCATGAGGTTAATAGAAAAATTTTGAGTAAAATCAAGAGTTGCAGAAGCCTCTCGCTTACATATTGCGATGTTATTGTTGGGTCTTTTGAGGAGGAGATGAATCTATTTAATTATAGAGTAATTTTAGGAAAATCTTTGTTGTGGACTTGTCGATGTAAAGAAACATTACCTTCCTTGAGTCACTTCATAAGAATTTTGCTAATTAAATTTGAAACTGAAAAACACATATATTTCAAATCGGATAAAAAGAATTTTTTTAAAGAAAAATGGAAGATTTTTGAGGAAACAATTTTAACTAACAATTAAAGTCGGATAACGCTATTATTAAGGAAAATCGTTAAGTTGAATAAGTATGTAGAAAAGAATTGACAATATCTATTTTCTTTATTAATTCAACATGGTATTTTCTGCAAACCAAAATTTATTCATTCTTCTGTAACTTAATTGTTGAAAAAAGAATTGTAACTGTTGTAATTGTGGAAATAAATAAATAAATAAACAAATAAATAAAGGCAAAAAGAAAAAAAAAACTGTCCGCCATGTTTACTTCCCGAGATGGGCAAAGGTTGCGAGCTTAGTAACCAAGCTCTAGTGGGGTGAATATAGCCTCATCATGCCGAGCTTTTCGACCAATCAGAATGTCCAATTTCCATATTCACCTCTGGAAATTATACTAAAGTAAAATGGTAAATTTCTAGGAGATCTACTACATCGAGGAAACCTTTTATGCCAGTGTTTTCCCTACTGAAGCTTTAATGAAAATTAAATTAACACACTTTACAACCAGGTCGTTTGATCATGTTTATTAAATCACGCCACAACTTCCTAGAGTTGAGCAAACATCTCACACACAAAAAAAATACACGCAAAATGAAAAGCCCTCTAAGGCGCAGAGCCTTCGATCGAGGAAGCTCTATTCTGACAAATAATACAATCTTAAAAACGGCTTTGGCCAGCAAGGCTATTCGCTTGTCAAAGGTACGTAGGTAAATCACAAAATTCTTCAGATTGAAACATATCTTGAGGAAGCTACTTGACGGATGTAGTTGAGCGTTCTAGGACAAATAAAGTTGCTTGGTCAAATCTACAGTTTATTCAGTTTCCCTCACTTTTAAATTATTTGTTCGATCCCCGCATTTCTCCATCACCTAACCTCCTGTATCACCACTAAGAGCTGATACACTTCTTAAAATCTCTAAATCGCGAACATCTGAAGCCAACTGGTACCAGGCAGAAAGAGCTGTAAGGCCTTTCCCTACAACACAGGTCGTGCTCGTAACAGCCGCGATGCCAGCAGCAGTCACCACAAAACCACTTCCAACACGAGC